GCGCTCACAACAGAGGCCACCCTGCGCGCGATTCAAATCCTAGATTATCTGGTGCGCCCAATAAAGAAGCCAAACCTGTGGTTAACAGTAACGGTAACGGTTAGGTGCACATTGGGGCGCCGATCTCCCATTTACCAGGGCTAACGGTAATCAGGATCCATTATAACGGTACCGATAATCATAATCAGGATCCATATAACGTAACGGTCTCACAAAACCCATGGTGACCCACTTCATCCTAATTCCCACACCAAAACAAGTCCACAATATATGCACAGCACCCAATTTATTCAAACAATTTTCAAACGTACTCACCAAGCTATACATTCCAATATTTACAATTATGCAACATAAAATAAATGAGCATTTAATATAAAAATATATATTAAAGGTTTGTAAAAAAAATGCTATGCAAATGCATGTTGATATGCCATTATTTATTATTACTCACATTGATTAGAGAGCGAATTCCAGCTTTTGATGTTGTCTGGAGGAAGCAATGGATGGACCCGGGCGATCTAAAGCCCCAAAGTAAGAATGACACAAAGAAATAATTCATCAGACAAAATTAATTTCTTACCCACTCTAAGAATTTTATTTTTATATTCTAGCTTTTCTACGGTAATTTTACTCTCGAGATTTTAATTTATTTATTTTTTTTTTATTATTATTATTTTATAATAATTTTATAATAATTTATATTTCTACCGAACACTATTTTATTTATTTCCTTTTGACTTGTATTTTATTTCTTACCGAAATTTATTTTTTTATTATTATTATTATTTTTTTTTTTCTACCAAAATTTCTTTTATATTTCTACCGAAATTTCGGCAGCATCTCCCCTAAAAAATTGGACTATCCACCTGTTAAAAATATCAACGATATCAAATATTTCCAAACCACACAGCCCATCCATCGGGCAATCAATCAAGTAACTTAATCCCGTCCTCCACATTATCCATATCAACATTAATTCATAAATTTCTTTAATTCCATAAACCATAATTTCCTAAATTTATTTATTACTAAACTAATTCTTTAATTAACCAAGTAATTTTAATTAATCAAACAACTTACTTCTATAACTTCAATTAACCATTCATAATTGGCTAAGTCAATTTAACTTAAATTAAATAACTACAAATTAATGAATTTAATTCATTACTAATATTACTAAAATTTAAATTAATCAACTAAAAGTATGAAAATTAAGCTAACTAAAATGACTAAATTAGACTAACTATCATGAAAAATTAAACTAATATTCTAACATAAATATACCCAATATGCTTACTGCCGGAATGAAGGAGCAGGTGGAGGCTGTGGCCGGAGGTGCGCTGAGCAGCAGTAGGCCTGCTGTGGCGTCGGCGGAGGTGACCGATCGCGCGCTGGAGCGCGGGCAGTGGGCCAGTAGCGCCTTGACAGGCGGTATGGTGGCGCTGCTGTAGGCGCGACCAGAGAGCAGCAGGTCGCCGATTCTGGGCTTGCTGGCGCGACGTGGAGCTGCTCTGTGAAGGGTGCGACTTGCCAGCAGTGAGCTAACAGCAGTTAGTGTGCGGTGGTTCGACTCTGGCTCACTTGCAGGCGCAGCACAACAGTAGGAAGAGAAAGAAAGAAAAGGAAAAGAAAAGGAAAGGAAAGAAAAGAAAGAAAGGAAGAAGAAGAAAAGAAGAAGAAGAAGAAAAAGAGGAGGTGGAGAGGCAGTTGGTGGTCCGGGGTGGTGTCCGCTGGTGGTCAAGAAGGCTAGGAGAAAAAAAAAAAACGGGGAGGGGGAGTGAGGTGTGTGCTAGAAATAGAGGAAAAAAGAAAATTCTAGATGGTTTTGGGTCCAACCGGTTCGATTCGGTTCGGTTCGCGCCCAAATCTTCGGTTTCCAATTGGTTTACGGGTTTTTTCCAATCGATTTGGTTTCGGTTCCCACAGAGTTCACATTAAAAATATTAAAAATAAAATTTCCAAGCTGTCGGTTTATTAAATTTAATTGAAAATCTTTTGAAAATAAAATTCGAGTTGTTTCAATATGGAATTCCAGTACTCTTAAACTATGGCCTGATAATAAAAAAAACTTTTCAAATATATCTTAATAATTGCTAGGGTCCTTTTATTATTTTTATTTAATTAAAAATTATTAATAAAAATATTAAAATAGACATTTATAAGCCATTAATATATATATATATATATTATATATATATATATATATATATATATATATATATATATATAATATATATATAATAATTTGCTTTTTAGAAAAATAACTGTATATATATAATATTTGCTTTAGAAAAATAACTAGTATTTTAGGTCGCGCACGATGCTGCGTGTATTTTTTTTACAGCTAATTAATTTATATCATAAATAATTTTATACATTCGCAATAAATTTAGAACAATTTATATAATATGTATTTACATTAAACTTATGATATTTTACAAAGAATTTCTGTATTTATATTATCATGAAGTAACTAATTATACAAATAAGTAAAAACAAATTTTGGTCATATTTATCTTCATAAGCTTCTCTTTTTCCTCCTCTTTGCATCTGCTAAAAATAATTTTATAAACTCACATGAAATTTTTAATAGTTTACACAGTGCATTTTTTCTGTGAATTTATAATAATTTACAAAGTAGATGTAAAATGCATTCACAAAATGATTTATAAATTTCGTTCTTATCTTTTAAAAAATAGACTAAAATATCCTTATAGTTTATTTCCGTCATACTAAAAAGTCTTTCCATTCAATTTTACATTCTTTCCGTAATGTATCCTATAAAATGATGAAAATTTCCTTTTATTTTTAAAAATATGGAGTCCGACTAGTTTTATTTTTCAAACTACGAAGACACTATTATAATTTTTTCAATATAATATTTTAGCATCTCTCTTTTGACATTTGTATTTTCTTATTAACTTTATAAAAAAAGATGTAAAAATTAAATAGAAAAATCTAATAATACGACGAAAGAAAATTTATGAACAAATTGATATATTTTAAAAAAAATAAAGACAAAATAATTATATTTTACAAACTACGGATATTTTTCCAAAATAAGTTTAACATGTGGTAACTGCGGACTTTAGTGCGGCATCACGTTTTTCGAAAACTGAAAAGAATTCAAGGGAAAAAAAACGACAAATCAAGGTAGTTGGGACTTCGAACAAACCGAGCATCACGTTTTTTGCGTGCATCTTTCTTTCTTTTCTCCTTTTCCTATTAAAAATTTCAAATGATAACGTCATTCGAGAATTTTGTAATGTGTTTTATTATTATTATTATTATTATTATTGAGGTGATAGTTGTGTGGTGAATTGCAAGAACACGTGGTGAATTGCAAGAACACGATATAAAGGGGCGGTTTTGATTCCAGTCTGATTGATTTTAACCGCTAGTTATTTGTATAGTATTTGCAATTGTTTTATATGAGCAGCTAACTTATTTAAAATATGTATTTTATTTTGAATTCCATTAATCTTTGAAAAAATCAAAACTTTATTAATCGAATTTTCAATATGCTTAATTTTACCATTATTAGTTGATTTTAAAATAATAATTTTCAATACAAATGTTTGTTTAAATTTTAATTAAATTATTTATTTATATAATATATTAGAATAAAAAATAATATATCTATATAATATATATAAAGAGAGTAATTGCTTTATATGGAAACTAAATGTAAATAACACAATGCTACTTTATTGTGTTTAGATTAAGAATTTTCAGAAGCATAAATTGAGAAATAAAAAAAAATAAAATTTCATTCCAAGTAATTTATTAACTGTTATATAGATTGTGTTTTTTCATTTCTCCAATATATATAATAGTATATATATATTTTTTTTTTTAAAAAAAACTCGTAGTTTACCTTAACATTTTTAATATTTATCTAATTTATTTTTCAAAATATATAGTTTTCATTAATTATTGATGATTTTTTTTTGAAATTATTAAATTTTTACCTAACATTTTAATATTTATCTATTTATTTTTTCAAAATATATAGTTTCATTAATTATTGATGATTTTTTTTTGAAATATTAATTATTGATGATTAATGAATATTAATATTATAAAGTCACACTACGATGATAACTAATTAACTTTAATATCATGTTATAATCATAACTAATTACAAAGTTGTTCACAATATTTTAGGAGAAATAGATATAGATGCATAGCTTTTACTATTGCATATCTTGTTAAAAGACTTCACATAATACTTAAAAAGGTATATCTTAGTATTGCAACTTTTTCAGCATATCTCTATAAGATATAATTTTATAATTCATTTCACGATCATTTTATTATATAATTTATTATTTTTGAATGATGTTGTAAAAGATTATTTTATTCTTTAATATTCATCCGCGCATCGCGAAAGTTCTAACATTAGTTCATTTTTTTTAAAAAAAAAAAATATACATTATACATTACAATGTAATAAAAATAATTATATTTTGATTAATTATAGTTTTAATGGTCATTTTAAATTTTAGTTTTAGTAGCAATCGCTATTAAAATTTTATCAACTCCAATATTAATATTTTAACCGCTATCAACTACTACCAGCCACAAACACAGATAAAGCAAACGGACCTTAGATTTGTAATTGCATTTTTATCTCTTTTGTATGGAAATATATCACTAAAATTTAAAGCTAATTTTTCTAAACTATACATTATTTTAAATAAATAAATTTAAAATATAAAATTCTTTATAAATGATATAATTTTATTAATTATATCAGTTTTATAAAAATGTATCTAAAAAACTGAATATATAACTTTTATTTTTGATATGATTGAATATATAGTATTTGATTTGAAAGATAATTATAAATTTATAAATATATTATCATTTTTTCATTATAAAATTATTTATGAGTATATTTATTAATTTTTTATAAACAATTATAAAATATTAAAATTAAGTTTAGCAGTCGGCTACATTTACCGTCCGGTTTTAAAAACATTACCCAGAACTAACAAGAATTAAGGAATTTGCCAATTTTGACAGGGAGCCACCCTCTGATTCTCACTTGGGACCCACTTTGTTCTTATCTAATACGCAGCTGTCTAAGAACCCAAGAAAGTCATGTTCTACTCTTCACTCTTCTGGCTTCATTTCATATATATAACAAAAAAAATCATAAGCTCTTACCGTCAAAGATGATTGATTCTGCCATTTCAACACCGACTCAAATATACTGAGAGAGAAGATGGAGCCAACTGCAAAAGTATCATCAATTTTTGTATATCCAATCAAGTCATGCCGTGGCATCTCAGTTTCTCATGCTGCACTCGCTCCTACTGGTAAAACCAGCCACTTTACAACTTGCTGGTTCTTCTTCTTTGCATTTCTCTGTTACCCATTTGGTGTTTTTGTTTTTTACTCATCTCTTATATGACAAATGGTTTATTCATCTTTATCCTCTTATCAGATTCTTGATTAAATAATCTACATGCGTTTTATTTTTTTATTTATGTTTTTTGATGGAATTTGCCAAAGAACATGGAAAAATTTAAAGAAGAGAGAATCTGATGTTGAGCCTTTTCCACTTACTGTTTGATTTTGATAAATTATGGACAATGAATCAAATTGCTGTTTTGCCATTTGTATGTTTCCTTTTATAAGTTTCTTGGATTAAATAATTTGCATGCCTATGGGTTTAATTTATTTATTTATAGATTTTGGTAGAATTTGCTAAGGAACATGGAAAATTTAGAGCAAGATAGAAAATATGATGTTAAGCATTTTAGAATGCTCAATTGTGATTGATTATGGGCAATGAATGAATTTGCTAGATTATGTAACTTGCAGTTGATTTGACATTGGTGAGATTGCTTCTTGTCCTAACAATTATGTGCGAGAATCGTTCTGAATAACACTAATTGATTGGTCTATCACTTGTATGCCTGCATAACAATTGAAAGGCACAAATTACAGTCAATTTATCATTGGGGTTGGGGTAGGAATTGGTAATGGAATTGGTAATCGATTTGTTTAAGCATAGATAGGTGTAAGGTTCACTTTCAGTTCACTTCCAAACTATATGAAATTTCAGTGGACAGATATAGATTCTGTAAGTAACAAATGTCTCTGTGTATTTCATATCCTCTCTACTAGCGGAGCAGATTTTCTTGAATTTGCAAGTTGAGACAAATGTTGTGTATAATGTACAACTCAGTAGTTGTGAAAATATTAATCTTTTGCTATATCATTCCGTGTTTAACAGTTGGACCTGCTAACATAGATTCAGTTTTTTACATTTCATTTGAATTTTTTTACATTAGATTCAGTTTTTTTACATTTCATTTTGAATTTTTTTTGTGTGCTTTCATATACAGGATTCCGATGGATTCAAACTGGTTTTTTTTTGTGTGCTTTCATATACAGGATTCCGATGGGATCGAAACTGGTTAGTTGTCAATTATAAAGGGAGGGCATATACCCAAAGAGTTGAGCCGAAGCTTGCTCTGGTTGAGGTAGAGCTGCCTCACGAGGCATTTTTAGATGGTTGGGAACCCACTAAGAACTCCTATATGGGTAAGATAAACTATTCCATATTCTTTGATCTTTATTCCTTTAAATGTTCCTTATCAAGAGTTGTGCTCTTTGAGATCTAATTTGTAGTTTCCTGTAACATTTCTAACAAAACTGAATTTCAGTCTTCTCCTATATATTAATTACTAGACAATTATTTTCCTCTAATTTATTCACCCATTGGACCTAGCACCTTTCTAGAACTGCAGAGTTTTGCTCAAAGATATAAATATTTCCAACTATCTGTGTGCTATAACCATCATGTAAAGTTCTACTCTTGCAATTTTTTTACATAAGGAAATAGCCAAGGAAAAATACTCCTAATTTGAACAGTATGAGTACCAAGTGAAGTTTTTCACGATCTTCAAGGTTTGTGCATTGCTGAAGATTGAACAAGCTAGCTAAGAGACATAATATAATCCTGTGGATGCTTTAGTTATATCCTTCAACTTTATTAATTATTAGACACTGTATAATTTGTATGCATTGCTAAAAGAAGAAGAAAATCGTGTGCATTCTTCTCATATTATTCATTAATCATGTTCATGCCTTTTGTTTTATATGATTTCTGCTTTGACCCATTATTTGTTCACTCTTTCACAGTAATAAAGGCTCCTGGGATGGGTGTGCTTAACATACCACTGACAAGACCTCATGAAGTAGCAGATGGTGTCTCAGTGTGGGAATGGTCCGGCTCTGCACTGGATGAGGGAGCTGAAGCTGCAAAATGGTTTTCAGATTATATTGGAAAACCAAGTCGGCTAGTGCGTTTTAATGCAGGTTAGGTTTCAATTTTGGTGCATTTTGCAACAAAAGGACAGTAATTGGGCTACTTATATGAATTTCTCAAATGTGAAGTGCATTTTAGGTTGTCTGGATGGAGTGAAAACATTTGAATAGTATCGAAGATTGGTTAGCATAGGCCATGTTTTGGCATATTATTTGCATCCTTTACTTTGTGGGCCCACGCTTAAGTTGAATGCTTTGCTCATATTCATTTTCATCACTGCTGCAGCATCAGAAACCAGAGCCGTCGATCCTAATTATGCTCCTGGACACAATGTTATGTTCTCTAATCTCTTTCCATACATGCTATTATCTCAGGTTGTCAACTTGTGACATGAATTATAAGGTCTCCTTGCCTTTTATGTGAAACTCGGGTCTGAATCTTGTCAATTATCTTCTGCAGGGATCATTGGATGGACTAAATAAGCTTCTGAAGGAGCCTGTTCCAATTAACCGTTTTAGACCCAAGTACATAAGCTTCTGAAGGAGCCTGTTCCAATTAACCGTTTTAGACCCAAGTACTTAATTAGACCAATTCCTATCTCTTCACCTTTAGTTAAATAATCCAATTTTCATTTAAAATAAAATTTAAAAGCCGTGCACTTTTTCTAGAGGCCTCTAGTAATGTCTGACTGTTTTTAATTGCTTATCTTTCAGATACTATGGGATTTCCTTAATAATTTTTCATCGGCACCAATTTTCCCTTTTCCTATTTTGATTGAACCATATGCAGGGGTCTATGTCTCTAAAATTGTTGTACTGTGTGACACAGCATTCTTGTTGATGGTTGTGAACCGTTTTCCGAGGACTTGTGGAGAGAAATTAGAATAAATAAGTTCACATTTGAAGGCGTCAAGCTTTGTTCCCGCTGTAAGGTATAATGCTTATGTTTCTGCACCAACTAGTTTTCTTATGGAAGTCATGTACAATTAGCATTATGTAAGAAGATAACTACACAAGGTACAAGCTATCATGGGTTGTTAATGATACTGGCATGGGTGTTTAATAATGCTATCCTTATATTATCCTTATATTAAACAGATAAAAAAAATTGCTTTTCCCAACTGCTTTTGGTGGATTAATATTGTGGGCTTCTTGGAAAGTTGAATTAGCTATGGTGATAATCATATAAAATAAGAAATATAGTTTGTAGTTGGGGTGTAGAGAATGAATAGGTGCTTTCTGAAGATCAAGGTTGCAGGTAGGACATATCTAGTGGTGAACCAGCAAGGAATGTCTTGTCTCTAGACTCTCTTGTTCTTAATTCATCTATCATATGACTGAAGAATGTCAACTTCTTTTCCCCACATCAAAATGTCATTAACTTATGCATATACAATCACAGCTATTTTGGGATTAGGGATTAGTTAATATCGCTAATTTCCTAATTGGATATCCTAGCCCTGTGTGCAGGCCTTTCAACTGTATGCTTGCTTGTGATCCCTCTTATCTAGCCATGCTAACTAGAAATGGTGGTTGCAAAGTTCAAATAGATAAATCTTTCACATTTTGCTCCTTATCTGTATGTTCTCATGTTTCAAAGTTCAAATAGATAAATCTTTCACATTTTGCTCCTTATCTGTATGTTCTCATGTTTAAAAAGACATTTTACGTCTTGCAGATACCCACGATTAATCAAGATACAGGATTAGCAGGGTCAGAACCAAATGAAACTCTAATGAAAATCCGATCTGATAAAGTTCTGCGTCCGGATAAGAAACAACAGGGAAAGGTGTGATCAATATTCAAAACTTTGAACTATGTTTTACCGTAGACACCGTCAGCGCAAAATAATTATGTGAAATGTTACTGCAGATATACTTTGGGCAGAACATGGTTTGGAAAGCCAGTGATGGAGGGAAAGGAAACATATTGAATGTGGGAGATCCTGTTTTTATTATCAAGAAAGTCTCTTCTGCAGCTGAAGCTGCTGCCTAAACCCTATTAAAATATCAGCAAAACTTTGTCGAATGTCTACTAGCACAATTTGTAAGTTGCAGACTACGAGATCCATCAAATACAGTGATGAAATAACATGTATTTATGCTATGTACCAATTCATAATAAAGGAACAAATAAAATGCCTGTAAAATAAATTATACTCTCTCCGTTTCGCTTTAAGTTCTCATTTAGGATTTTGAGAGTATATTAATAATTTTTTTTTCAATTTTACTTATATTTATTAGATATAATTTATTTTTACGTTTACATTTATTTTTCTCTTTTTAACCATTATTTTAATTGTAGTTAAATTAAAATCTTTATTACAAGTTACTAACAGTTTTTCATTATATGAAGACATGGAAAAATGAAATGGAACTACTATTATAATGATGGTGATTTAATAATGATGGTGATTTAATATGAGATAAAATTAGCATTGATTATAGTAAAATTAAACGGGGAGTTATTAATTTTAAGAATCATAATTTAAGCATTTTACTGTGTATTTTTAGAAAATTAATGTGTTTCAATTTTTTTATTAATTCTTTAGAAAATAAATGTTTTCAAATCATTTTTTTTAATTTTTATAAAAAGATGAAATATTTTTGTTAAAAAAAAAAAAAATGTTGTGTTAAAGTGGAACGGAAAGGGTAGAATACGCCCATATATCATAAATGATATAAAGGTTTGTAATATCATAAATGATATTTTCAATGGTCGGTTAGTGCCTTACGCTTTCCTTTATAGCCCATATATAAAGTCGAATCCTAGAATGAGTAAGAATGAAGATATCACATTATTATATATACTAATCAAGTTTATATCATGTTCTTACATTCTCCATTTTCAAACCAACCAGTCCAATTTAATTTATCCAGTATTATCCAACGTTGTATTGATTTAATATGAAATAAGATACCATTGATTAATTAAAACAATTCAATTGTTTAATAAAAAAAAGACTGATTACTTAAATTCACTCTTGAATTTTGCAATTATAATCTTGTGGTATCGTGAACTTTGTGAATGACCTATCATGTACTTGAATTTGTAATATTGGTAATATTACCCACATTTGACTTTTATCTACAAAATATCAATTTGATATATAGTTAGCATGACTTTTAGAATAATAATTTTTAACTTTTAAGGGGTATTTAATTGATATAGTTTTGCAAGTTGAAGTGTTTAATAAAATAATTTTGAAAATTGAAGTGTTTAATAGGTATATTTTTATAAGTTGAAGTGCTTGATAGATTAAAATAAAAATTGATGGTGTCACAAAATTAAAATAATAAAATTCAGGCGTGAATTTACATATTTAGCAAAAAAATTTATAATTAATTTGAGATATATTTATAGATAACATCGGTCAGAGACTATTCCTTTTAATTATCCAATGTCAAGTGACTGGATCATATTTGTACAACAATTAATAGTAAAACAAATAAATAAATAGCAGCATATTATTTAGGGAGAATTATTATTACGTCCCAATATAAAAAATGAATATAGTAGTCTGTCTCTGTTTTTTATAAAAATACATGATTATATAACCAAGTTTTAATCCCGTTAGATACTTTAATCCTTCTGCAATTTTTAATGTGTTTAACGGTTAGTCAAATCTTAAAAAAATGGTCAGATGGGAGAGCAAAGTTTTAAATGACAATATTGGCCCTAACCTTTCCTCTCCAAAAGAAAAAAAAAAAAAAACGAGAGAAAAATATGAAAAGGAAAGGCATAAATTTCTCATGAAATGGAATTTACATATAACGTAATAACAAGAAAGCATTTTCCATATTGAAAGCAAATCCAGTAATAACTCATTATTTCTCATAAACACGAGCAAGGCATAAAATTTTCTCATGAAATGGAATTTACATAAAAAACGAGAGAAAAATATGAAAAGGAAAGGCATAAATTTCTCATGAAATGGAATTTACATATAACGTAATAACAAGAAAGCATTTTCCATATTGAAAGCAAATCCAGTAATAACTCATTATTTCTCATAAACACGAGCGCACAAAGGCACCAACCATGAATTGATTCCGCAGGTACAGAACTGAGCAATAGGCCAACCATTGGCAATCTACCCAGCATGCCTTTGGGAGAATCATAGTTTCAGATTAATGGGTCCACTTTTGCTATTAGAGCTTTTGGACTTTCTGAATTGAAAATTGCGATTTGATGATTCTCACTTGCAAGCCTTCTCTTTATTATTATTATTATTATTATCTAAGTCACAATTACCATGTATGAGTCTATTGTCAATAGCCATAACCGTTAGTAGAAGCCCCAATCTCTTCGTTGTTGTAGCTGCTGCCGGTGGCCTGAGACCGCTAAGAGAAACTGTAATGCTCTCACGATGAAACGGGATGAGGACAAGGAAGGAGAGAGAAAGACCGAGGTGTGCTGATTTTAGTTTAAATGAAGGATATTTTTGTCTTTTCGAATAAATTAACAGCAAAAAGTTTAAAAATTAACGGAAGGACTTCAGAGTCGAACAATATCAAAATTTAAGAATGTAATAATATATTTTGAAAAAAGCAGAGATCTACTAGTGTATTTGACCATAATAAAGGGATCTAATAATAATTTTTTCTGTTTGGAAAGAAGAGGAATCAAAATAATAAAGGAAAATAATGATGAATTGTTAATTTTCTTTCATTATTATTTTCCACCTTTGTATTTGAATAATGAAGGAAAGAAAATAAATTTAGTTTCCTTTGTTTGATGGGAGGTAACAGTATTTCCCGACCTATTCAAAATCAGGGCAAATTTCAATGAAATTTTTTTAAGTTTTGAATGTTTATTGGATTTACGTCTAGATTTTAGATTATTTATTCAAAATGAATTCAATAATTGATACTTAAACCATTAAAATATTTATAAAAATTAAAAATTTTAAATTTAATTATAAACTTGATTTATATTTTTATGTATGCATTATGTCCCAATATTATGATCCGCGTTTTTTGCTAGAATTTTTATGTATGCATATGTCAATATATTGATCGTTTTGCGAGAATTTTAGAAAAAATTATTTTTTATTTTATTTTTATATATGAGTAAGTATAATTTGGATATTTAGAATCTTGAAAATAATTATTAATTATAACATTCGCATGCCAAGTGCGAAAAGATCACTAGTTTTATTGGTATTTTATTGATCGATTATAAATTATTTATTTTAAAAAAAATCGTTAAAAAATATTAAATTTCAACTAAAAAGGAATATTAAATCAATTAGGAATCCTAATATTAATCTAATTAATCTAAAGACTCACTATAAATACGCCTTTTAAAGCTATCTAAGAGAAAAGTTACAAGAGATCAATTCTTGCAACTTGTAAAGGTAAATGCTCTTCTAAATATATAACTGGGACATGTTAGTTTTTACAAATTTATTATATTCATAACTTTTTTCAATGAATTTTTAATATTTTTTAAGTCCAATATTCATTATCGTGGAGGTATTAATTATTGTGCTCTTAATTTTCTAATAAAAATTTTAGTTTTTAAAAAAATTAAATTTTATAGTTTAGTAATAAATATAAGTTTATTAGTTTCTTATATATTTAATTTAGTTCATGGTTATAACTTTTTATTTTTGCTAGAGTTTTAACATATTTTTTGAATTAGCATGTGATATAATAATAATAATAATAATAATTATATAATTATTATTATTATATAGTGTCATATCAATTATTATTTATTATTATTATTTATTATTGTTTTTAACATATGCAATAATGTTTTGGGTTTACCTTTTTAGATTTCATAAAGGGATAATATTTAAAAAAATAAAAAAAATTTTAATTTAAGCACATAAAAATAAAATGTATTTCCTGTTCATACCTTCTATTGTAAATATTTTAAATTAAATGCTGGATTTCTATTTTTATTTCAATTTAATCTTTACTATATATATATTATATATAATATATATATAATATATTATAGTTGGTTAATTAAAAAAGATCATTAAGAATATTTTAGTTTTATTTTAATTAAAAAATCTTAATTTTGATTGGTATTTTATTGATTGAGTAAAGAATATCAATACGATAATTTAGTTCATTCCTATTAGGAAAACTTTTTGATTTTATTGATATTAAAATTATATTAAAAATTATTATTTAAGCATAATTTAGTTATTTAAATTTTAATTTTAATTTTATTGATATTTATTGGGATTTCTATTTATGCAAAAATATTACAATTTAATATATATAATTTGAATATTGGAATTTATTTTTTTTAGAAGAATTATTAAAAAAGAGAATAATATTGTCATTTTTATCGGATACAAAAGTAAAATTAAAATGAGGATTTTTGTTATTTTTTATTTCTGTTCTTTGATATAAAGTATTCAAATGAAGCTGAGAGAAGGCTTTTAAGTCTTCAATATCTTAGCTGTGACATCACCTCCGCAAACTACGCCAATGGCGGCAGCCACCGCTCCTTACTGGGCTGCTCACGCGTCTAATCCCTTGCTCACGCGAAGAGCAGCGCACACTAGATTTCCTACAATATAGATTTGTAATTTAGAATCCTTTTTCTACTTGGAAATCCAAGTAACGTCAGGTTTGGATTTCCATGTAGAGTAAGGAAAGATGAGTGTATCTATAAATACCATTGTATATTCAATTGAGCCATATATTTTCTGCCGCATTGTATATTCAATTGAGCCATATATTTTCTGCCGCTGCCATGAATCCGATCATCCCTGTCTGGCGTTACAATTTGGTTGACGAACTGAAATGTATAGACTCCCTTCTTCATTTCCATGGAGTTGTTTATGTCGACACTGAATTTCCAGGCTTTCTTATCGATACTCCAAGGCAAGCCAGTGAGTCTCTTATCTATTCTAATTTGAAATTTAATGTGGACGCAACAACACTTATTCAATTGGGCCTCACCTTATCTGACGAAAACGGCAATATCGCCGGTTGCTGGGAATTCAATTTCTCTTTTGATGCTCAAACAGAGGTCTATACCGATGATTCTTTAGAATTTCTGAAAGACCATGGTATTAATTTCGAAAAGTTGAAGAACGACGGAATTGATATTCGTTTCTTTTCGGATGCTTTTGTTCATATTTTAGCCAAACATAGGAATTTGAAGTGGATTACTTTCCATGGATTGTATGATATGGCTCACATGGTTACAATGGTTACCAAAAGCTCACTGCCTCCATCTTCTCTTGATTTTACTGAGTTAATTGCAAATGTGTTTGGTTGCTATGTTTTTGATATCAAGTATATTGCGACATTCTGCGATGGTTTATCCAAAGGCGAGTTGGGGTTAGAGAAGTTAGCAAAGATCCTTCGAGTTAAGCGAGTTGGCGGCGCTCATCAAGCAGGGTCTGATAGTTTGTTAAGTGCAACAGTATTTTCTAGGTTGAAGACAGTTTATGGAATTGATGAATCGAGACATGTGGGGTTCTTGTATGGCATTGGCAACCGAATTCGCAAATCAGTACGTCCAAGAGTGCTTTATCCTTCATTACTCGTTACTGTCAGCCGAAGATTTATCATCCCATGTTGGTTGCTCCACCATTTTTTCATCCTTTTGTTTTGCACCCTATTTGCTCGAATGTGATGTTTTCATAAACACAATATGTTATCGTTTAGTCAATAGGTAAACTTAGTGCTTAATGCATATTGGGTAAAGTGTAAACTGTAGAGTTGTCCTGTGAGTTTGATCATTGTGATAATCTTAGTAAAATTCAGCTGTTCAGCTTTTCATGAGAAAATAAAGAGAAGTTTCCAATAAGAATTCATTCCATTTCTTATTTTTCCTTCCACATGATATGGATGAATAACCATTACAATATGTAGTTTTATCTGCTTGATATATGTATGTTTTTCCTTCTTCTTTATTGGTGTCAAACCATGTCTTCTGCAGCTAATTAATGGGTTCCTTGTATGTGTTTTGATGTTGAAGCTGACAGAAGGCTTTTTTCCTTCTAGAGAATGTTTAGTTTTACCTTAATGAGCTAATGGAATACTGTTATCCATTAGCTGGTTTTCTGTTCAAAATGGTCAGTTTTAGGGAAAAGAGTGAAAATTTTCCTTTTGTTCATTTGACACTAATTAGTTGCTTGATCTCCTTTTGTTCATTTGACACTAATTAGTTGCTTGATCTTGAGATTTTGTTTATCATTTTCAATTTGGGATATTTGAAATTTTCATTATCGCTTCACTTTTCCTTACCAATTCAGCTTAATTTTGCCTTTGAATGTGGTTGTGTTGCAGGCAGGGTTGCGAACACTTTGAGCATTTGCACATCTTGTCCACATGATGGTCAGTTATACCAGCTAGAAAACCAAAGGTTTCTTTGTGGTTACAAATACTCTCAACATAAGTATATTTTGGCTGTTTTCGAACTTTTTCTCTGCATCCGAAGTGTGCTAAAAGATGATATTCTATGAAGGTTCTTCTACCACCTGAAATAATCCTCTCTTTTCTAGAAAATAAGATTATAGGTGCTTACAGATGACGTTTTGATCAATTACTTCGATTTAGAACTTTTAGTGGGGGATCAGTTTTTGCATTATGATAAACCCATAATTAACCACACTATTTTACGAAAAAACTGTGAAATATTATAAGGGACTGAAAAGTAGATCAGTTTCTCTAAGTCATTTTCCCATGTTAAAAAAAAAAAAAATTTTCACGTGGTAATATCTTACTGCTGGATACAAACATTTATATCATCTCAGCTTTTAGGGTGATAAAAACAGTTGAATGGCCAAGGTCTTCCTCTTTGGTTATTGTTTCTAGTCGTCTTGCCCGATGATCTTTCTCCCAAGCAGTCACCTTACTGTGGCGGCGCTAATCCAGCAGGCGACTTCGACAGCGTTTGTCAGGGATGCCGCTGGAGTTGATTGTGACGAAATAAACTTGGCATTTGAGAATGCAGAGCACCCTGGATTTCCTACAAGCTGAGCAAAAGGAGCATAGTAAGATGTAAGATGGAAAGCCACATAAACACACCGGTTTAATTAAATTTCTGCTGGGTTTATCAAATTTGGTCAATTGTTTATTTTTATAGTCTGCAGTTAGCTCGTTCAGAAGCAATATTATTTTTGCAGATCAAACACAGTATTGAAAGCAGTGGACCAAGCGCTTTCCCATGTCTAGTTGGCCACACTGAATGCATTGCTTTTCAATATCCATTGCATTGCAAAAGTTTTGCAGAAAATGAATAGCTTTATTCTCAAACTGCAACTTAGACATATTTCTGATTTCAATTGGCTAGTTTTTAGATTTCAACAAAAATATTGCTTGACTGTTCATGTTCTGAACTAATTACTGGTGGAATTTCGGAAATTAGGACAACAATTCTATAAGTCTATAATTTTCAGAATGTTTTCATTTTTGTAATATAATTCAAGGACTTACGTATTGGTATTACTGACAGCAACTCTGATTCATTAGGGGCCAAGTCAAGTATGCATGGATCTGACAGAATGAGGCAGATTCGGCATCTTTTGCTGATACTTGAAGTACTGAAGAAGTACCCAACGAACTAGGATTGATGTCATTTGCATTCAACTTAAGTGTTGGATGTTCACTACGTTTTGTCCAGTTGGTAAAGATGAATTATGGTGCTTTTAATCTTCTTATTCTGATATGATTACTTAAATAGCCCTCAACTGCATTGCTGAAATCATGTGTTGTTGGTGTTTTATTCATGGTCTGTTATAGATCTTTTAGCATATATTTGAGTCTAATTGGGCTCCACTGTATTAAAACCCTTTTGTGTTTATGGGACTTATCATGCTTTAATATTGTGAACTAAATAATGGTATAATGTATTACCATATAATCTAGTTATAAACTCTTGCTGTGTCTTTTTTTTTTGGTGTAATTAAATCATTTAAATCAATTGAAGCTTGCAAAGTATAGTTTAATCTATGTAGGTGCACTTCCTAGTTAAAAGCATTTCTATCAAGACCGCGTGTAGTGAATCAGAATGTCAGAGGCTGTAGTGAATCAGAATGGTCAGCATTTTCATGGAGAGTGAAATTGGTAGCAAGAAACCATGTTTAGTCAAGAAACGATGATTGGATGTGTGATTTTCACCTCACAAACCTCGGGTCCTGAACCAGCCTAATGTGGATCAGCATAGAGTTCGTCCTGAAGTAAGTTACCCATCCATAATGCTTGTACATCAATATAGAATTTGGTTAAACACACAAGAAAAAAAAAAAAATGAAAAAGAAAGGGAAATCCTCGTTGCCACTTACTCGAACTTACACATGTTTAGTACATGAATCAGAGTTTGAAAGGCTGCGAAGGGAATCGAACCTGAAAGCGGTTGATTGTCTGAAATGGCTGGCAAACTCACAGAAGTTGTTATGCAATTTCATTGACTTCAACAGCAAATAAAAAGATGTTAAGACAGTGATCACTAAGACTGAGCATTGCAAAGGGTGTTAAAATTTATACTCAACACAGGTGCTTAGCTTTATCTGAGGACGGGTCCAGCCTGGAGTGCGTTTGGTGTATGAAACTGGAATAGGTTCCTGTCAAGTGATTATCTGCCAGGTCTAGGCCAGTAGAGATTGGAGAGCTTTTGCCAAAGAGAAGAATTTTCCAGTCAAATTTTGGAGAGTTTTGCCAAAGAAGAAGGAATTTTACCAGTCAAATTGTTTTTGTGGAGGGCCCTGTGAAGAAAGATAAGATATTTAGAAATGAACAAGCAATGAAATATTCACAAAATGATGATTCTTATTAGTTATTACTATGACAAACTCTTACAAGAAGGATAGCTCAGCAAGATTTCCTAATTCATCTGGAATACTACCAGTAAAGCCACAACCAGCGGGAATTCTGAGAGTCGAAAGAAAATTTTGTAGCTATATTTGAAAGTTATTGGATCTTACAGTATAGTCAAATTGTTTAGATCTCCTAATGGGGGAGTTAGAGATCCTGTAAATGTATTGAATGACAAGTCCCTGATATCAATTCAGTGAGTCCTCCAATGTCACCACTTAGGTTTCCTTTGATGCTCATACTTGATAACCCTCGAATAAGTAGGAAGGCCAAAAAAAAAAAAAAAAAAAAAAAAGAGTACAAGAATGTGGATACCTGGAAAGGAAACAGAGCAATCGGAAACTTGATAATACGAAAGCTCACAATTGCAGTGACCCTTGAATTCTTGACATCTGTAATCGCTTCCCCATGAGTGTTCACAACGGATCCTCCATATGCCCCAGCATGGGGGTAAAAAAAAAAAAAAAAAAAAAGAGTACAAGATGTGAAACCTGGAAAGAAAAAGAGCAATCGAAACTTGAGTAATAGAAAGCTCACAATGCAGTGACCCTTGAATTCTTGCATGTAACTCCTTCCCATGGTGTTCCACAAGGATCTCCATTGCCCCAGCTGGGCGGAGTATTTTGCCAGGTATTTTTCAGGGACTTGAGAGAGTTGCAGCTGTTTTAACACAAATGAGCAAATAAATATGTCAATTCTTATTTCTAAACCTATCAGAAACTTATTTGTATTCCATATACTAATAATTATTTACCTAATTTTGATTTTCAATAAAAAATTTCATAAAACAAAAAAGATCATAATAAAATGTTCAAAGGAACTTTCCTGGAACGATGCAATCCTACCATAAATAACACTGAAGAAGACAGAACTTACCATCACGAGGGTCTGTTAAGGAAAAAGTGAAAAGAAAAAAACGCAAGAAAGAAAAGCAACCTGAAAGCTTTAACCATGGCAGCAGGCAGGCTAGCTCTGTAACTGCAGAATGTGAAATTTCTCAGTAATAAACAAAGTAAAGACACAAGCCAAAAACCCTGTTGTCAAATGCTAGAAATGATCATTTGCTGTGCCGGCCGGCCTCCAAGATGTATTAAGATTTCCAGAAGAGATGACAGGAAAACTGTGAAGGCCAAATGAAGATAAATTTGATGTCCAAACTTCAAAAGAAATGATATCCTATAATGGGTTTCTGTCTTGCACCTATAAGTTAAACGAGGAGCCCATAAATTTAAGAAAGTTGGAAAAGGATATTGCCTATGATGCAGCTTGATAAGCCAAAATCACATCAGAACCGCATGGAGCTTTTTTTTTCCCCGTTCACAGATGATCATGCTTCACACATGAGGTACGAAATGAATATATATACTGTATTTACATACCGTATTACAGATGTATTTACATACCGTATTCCCTGTTCACAGATGATCATGCTTTTTTGAAGAACTGAAATGAATTATAGAACATGCTAGCTCTCCTCTTTCTATAATCTCTCCTTGTATCGAAATTGAAAGTATACACTTTTTTTTTTTATTTTTTATTTTTATTTTTTTTATATTTTTTTTATGAGGAAATGTTATTATTATTCATTGATGATAAAAGTCATATATGGTATCGAAAAAATTGTTTATAAATATTAAGATAATATTTTATTCAGTTATTTTACATAGCTAGTAATTGATTTATATCTAATAATTAGGTTAAATTTATTTTTATAAATATAATTTCTAATAATCTTTTAAAATTATTATTTTTATGTAATCATTTTATTTATTAATTAATGATAAATAATAATTAAAAACTTAACAATACATGAATTTTACTCGCTAGTAAATATTTACTAGTTACTAGATATCAGCTGTTACGAATAACTAAGTAAATATATATTGATTGAACTTTAGGTTTTTATCGTCATCTTTTAATTTAATGATTTTTAATCTCCCAAAAAAAAAAAAAAAATAATTTCAGGTGTTTTATTTGTAGGTTTTCATGAGAAATACTTATCGAGTATTATCGAGTATTGTGCTTGCAAAACATTAATGCAAAGCTCTCATCAGACAAATTAATTGTTTTAATAAATGTTCGCTATTATAATAGTATTCCTCTAATATTAGAGGAAATAATGAATTATAATCTACTCCATTTGATGAACTTTTAACAACTCTAAATAACTTTAGAAAATTAAATCCAACAACACTTTCAACTTTATGGGTAACTAGTTATGCTCCTCAAATAATTTTTTTTTGCACCAACATTACACCTTTCTACGTAGGCACAAGCACATGAATTTCATTACACTGACTTGGATTAGTTAGTGCAGAACGGGGCCCATCTAAGTCGACACATCAGAAATTTTGAATAAAAGATTTTTTTTTTTCTGTTTGATAAAGAAACGACTGTTGGGGGTAAACACATTTTTGAGTGTAAAAAGATAAAAACTAGTGCTTGAAGAACAATTTCCTCTCATATAAACAAAATCAGGCACATTTTGTCATTGAGGTAGAAGAGAATATTAGGGTTTTGAGTGTGAGAGTGCGAATCTGGTAATGAGCGGTCCTAACACTGGAAAGGGATTTGTTAGAGCTTGAAGCGAAGAAGAAGCCATTTGTTTAAACATGTAAGTAGTCGATTTCTTTTGTGAAAAATTGATATATGGATTGTGCTATTTGCTTTATTTGCATCTCTTTTGGTAAAAATAAAGTGGCATTCATTCCTTTCCTCTGTTTTTGATTTTGTCCTGTTTAGAAAAAAATAGTGATTTAGTTGTATGAAGGTTTTTTCATTATTAGTACAATAAAAGTAGGGTTATTTTGAGATTTAACATGGAGTTTGCGGCCTAGGATAAAAAAAGTTGGTATTTTTTTTTTCTCATTTTTCTATACACGTGATTTCTGAATTTGAGAATATAGGTTTTGGACTTAAATGAATTTTTTTCTCCATTTGCAAAATGGTTGACAAGATAATTAATCTTCGATGGTTTCATGGTGGACACTTTGAATTAGAGCCTGATATGAGGTATTTAGATTGTCACTGTGGAAGAAAATGTGGACAATGATAGAGTTTCACATGTGGACCTTTTAGGAAGGGCAAAGGATTTGGTTATGAGCACATTGGTCCTCATTGCTGGAGAAACTCAAATATACTCTCTACTCAATATTGATGTTGATGAAATGTTTCATTTGGAGTTCGTGGAAAATGAGGGCACAATGGAGTTATTTATTGAGCATTTTATTCACTTACTAGATGTTATTGAAGTTAATGATACGTTGTTAATGAATGTGGTCCGGAATGATGAGATTCCATTAGGGGAAGGGCAAATATGGAAAATGAAAATCCATTAGGGGAAGAGGCAAATGAGGAAAGGGAAAATGTTGGTGGGGAAGGGGCTAATATGCAAATGGGTAATAGTGAAGGGCCAGATTCTGATAGGGCTAATGTGCAAATGGGTAAAACTGAAGGGCTAGATTGTGAAAGGGCTAATGTGCAATTTCCTAGGCCAAGAAGAAAGCAGCCTTGATGAAGATAATGATTATGAAATTGAAGTTGAAGAAGATGGAGTTGATGGAGATGTTGAAGGTGACGTAAGTGATGTGGATAAAGAATTAAGGGAACCTAAAGAGAGAGTTAGGTAATATACTAGGAGAGCTAGGGAAAAGGCTAGAGGAGGAGGTTTGAGATGTTCCTTTAGGTGAAGCATGAGCTAACTTTGGTTTTACTAGAGAGGAATAGTTTGAATAATAGGTTTAAAGTTGTAACTAGCGGAGGACAACCTTATATTGATTCTTCTGATCCTGATTCTAGAGAAGTCAGTGATGATGAACAAGATAGTGGGAATGATATTTCATCAATTAATAGGAGAGAAAGGAAAATCCACTATGATCCAACATCTGTTATGCCATATTGGGAGCTTAGTATGATTTTTGAGTCTGTGGATCAATTTAGGAAACCCTTAGCTAAGTATGGTGTGGTAAGGGGGTAGATCTAACTATAAGACCAAATGAGCCAAAGAGGGTTAGATCTAAGTGTAGGAAGGGTTGTCCATGGTTATTTAGTAGCGAAGAAAGTAGCACAGAAAATTTTGTGATAAAAACCTATAATCCAATCCACAAATGTTATAGAACCAATAAAAATAAGTTATGCAACTCTAGCTTCATAGCTAGATATTTCAGAGACAGAATAGTATCTCAACCTGGTATAAAAATTAGGGAAATACAAGCTTTGTGCAAGGAGCAGCTGAATGTTTATATTGGCGAAACAATTCCAAGAAGGGCTAAGATAAAAGCTCCAGGGGCTATAACGGGGGGGCTATAATGGGGGACTAAAAAGTTGAATTTGCTAGACTGCATGATTATGCAGATGAAATCAGGACCTCTAATCTTGGATCCACATGCTTTGCAAAGTGCAAAAGGCTGGATGGGGGGGGGGGGGGTGCAAGGTGGTGGGGGGGGGGTGGGGGGGGGGGGGGTGCAAGCATTCAAAAGGTTTTACATGTGTTTGCATGCTTGCAAACGAGGTTTCATAGAAGGATGTAGGCCAATATTTGGCTTGGATGGCTGTTTTCTAAAGGTGCCATATGGAGGTCAATTACTTGCTGCCGTGACAAAGGATGGAAATAATCAGATATTTCCAATAGCATGGGCTGTAGCAGAGGCGGAGAACACAAAAAATTGACTTTGGTTCATCTCAACTTTGAAGCAGGACCTTGGCATAACCACAGGCTTAGGTTGGACTGTCATTATAGACATAAAAAAGGTAAGATCCATCTACTGTGACTTCCAATTTTTTTTACATGTTTAAATGTAATGTATGTTTTATGCGGTTCAATATTGATTTTTTTTATTTTTACAATCATCAACACTAATTTTTTTCATCATATTGTTTACAAACTGTGTATTAGGGATTTGACAAAGCAATAGAGCAAGAGTTACTAGAGGTGGAGCATAATATGTGTGCTAGACACATATGGACTAATTGGAATAATAAATGCAATGGTGAAGAAAGGAGAGGAAAATTTTGGGAGGTGGCAAGATCACCCTTTGAGATGATGTTGAAGGATAAATTGAAAGAGATGAGTGCACTTGGGACTAGAATTGTAGATGATTTGCTGTACTACAATCATAACACTTGATGTAGGGCTTTCTTTAGTTACACCCTTGAATGTGATATTGTTGAGAACAATATGTGTGAGACTTTCAATGGTTGGATTCTCAATGCTGTAGGATAAAGTCAATGATCACAAGGATGGAAGAAATAAGATCACAAGTGATGGCGAGGATAAGGGTGATGAGACAATTTGCTTCTATAAGGATATGTGACATATCCCCTAAAGCTATGGAGAAACTAGAGATGCATAAAATGTTGTCAATGCATTGCACTCCTATATGGAATGGTGATACTAGTTTTGAAGATAGTTGAGGGAGAATACAAGCATACTATGTTCTTAAGGAAGATGAGTTGCTCTTGCAGGTCCTAGGAACTCAAAGGAATCCCATGTACACAAGCATCTGTGCAATGTTTCATAGGAAAATGAATCCTGAAGATTTTGTAGCAATTTGGTATAGGAAGGATCAATATTTGAAAGCTTACAAGTACAACATTTAGCCTGTTAGAGGCATGAAGCTTTGGCCTGAGACAAGCAACCCTGTGATTTTACCCCTAGAATATAGATAAGCTAAACCTGGAAGAAAGAAGATTAAATAGAAGGAGGGATAAGGATGAGCCTAGGAAAATATTACAAAATCATGTGGATAAGGAGAGTGATATTACTAACAATCATGTGCAATGGGAAATGTACTGGCAGATTGGAAGTTAATCACAACCCTTACCTAGCTAGTAGTCACGTGCAATGGGAAGTACAAGTGTTCCACCCATCTCCACTCCAACAGGCTAGTATTTAACTTTAAACTTTAACAATTACATTTAATGTTTCTTCTAATCCTGAATGAATTTTGCTTTTTTTTAGTACTGAATAGGATTTTACAAAACATTATAATGTGAATGTTTGTAATTTCTTGAGTCAATTTTGAAGCCACTAGTTATATTTGTATTTATTGTAGCTACAAGCATACTGAGGTCAAGCCAAAGGGGTGTTGCAGCACCATTTCATGCTTCTCCTGCTTCTGTGAGTCAAAGGGGTGCTATAGCACCATTTCATGCTTCTCCTGCTGTGAGTCGATCAAGAAATCGAACACCTTAGGTTGGAGGAAGAGGAAGGGGAAGAAGAGTTACAAGTCAGGAAAATGTGACAGTTACGCCTTGTAACATGAATGTGACAGCAACAACATCTAACGTGATAGCAAGGGGTAATGTGACACTCTCCAACTTGCCACCTTCAAGTGCTCC